ATGAGATTTTACGATCTATTATATTCTAAGCTAGACTACGCAGCGAAAATAGAATATAATATAATAATTTTATAGATTATATGAAATCTAGGTATTATCTATACTATACTAAAATTTAGCAGTACATTACTATATAAGTTCGTGGAAAAAAAAGAGGTCGAAAAGTGCTACTATTGGTGTAAATTGGGGGGTGGACGGATACTTTTGCTAGGGTGCTGTACAATGGACCCGTGGCAAGAAAGACCATTACTGCGCTGATGTTCTTTGCTTGGAGAAACTCCCCTTCGACCTATTTCTAGAAAGCACACCTACAAGCCTCGACCCTCAGAACCAGCTCGAGGTCGAACAGTCGGGAGGGAGAGTCGATGTGAGGCAGCGCAGGCGCAGTCGTCAAGCACTGCGGTGTGGGAGGAAAAAGAGTAGAAAAGTAAGTAAGGGAGCATGAATCGGTGCAACCCTCGAGATTCTCGTGGTGCGAAAGAAAGCTAACGGTCCTAGACTAAGCCTCGACGCAGGCCTCGAGTCGGGCGACCATTTCCCCTCCTCCTTACCTTCGCTGCCTATCCTCTTCGCCGCGATTTCTTTTCTTACGTTCACTGACTCGTACAACATCCTCAAACATGTGGGTGCCATCGGCCCATTCTCTGACCGCGTGGGCTACGGCACCGATCCAAAACCCGCTGAAATACCTGACGAAGTTGATGGGGAAATATCCAGGATGCCTGAGTGCAGCGATTTTCATTCATGGACGACAGGTGATGACCTCTCAGTCTTTCAGAGGATAGACTGTTCCCAACTCAGTGATGCGGAGAATGGAGAACGAAAATGAAAAAAAGGTTCATACGAGGGATGACCGTGCGGGCGTACTCCTGGGATGGTACGAGATGCGTTTCAAACCCAACCCACCCTTCAGGTAGGGAGTAGTAGGAGAAACTCAACTTCTCATGCAAGAGGGCCCAGCGAGAATGAAAGTCAAGAAATGTCTACATCGAACCGAGGCGGGAAGACAAGGAGAAATGGGAGGATGGGTAACAGACGGGGGAAAGGTCAAGCAAGGCATCCGTGCCCTCACCGAGCGACCGGATCGAGCCTATTCATTTCAAAATCGACCATCTACTGTCCAAAGGCGTCCTGGTGACAAAGGTCCCCATGAGTTGGCTCTACACCATGGAAGCCAGCATTCACCGTCAATGAGGACGGATCAATTGACTACCGAGCTGGAAAGGTATTGATGAAAGGACTGAGTGAGGAGGAGGAGGAGGATCAACAGCCATCAGACAATGAATGATATTGGAGTGGAGAGGCAGGGCGGGCATCCGACCCTCTTTTGTATACCAGGGTACAATGTATTCAATCAGATTTCATCCTCGTATAAATTTACCCTGTTTTCTATGCCTGGGCCTTGACTCGACGCGAGCGCTGAAAGATGGCGGTGTCGCCGCCTCCTTTGGAAGCAACGAGAATCTTCCCGGCAATACTTGGCCCAGGGCCTGGATGGCAAAAGAAGGCACCGTTGCCTACTTGAGCTCTGACATGTGACGATGTATTTGGTACTTTGATGCTGCTGGTGGCTGCTCGTCACACTCATGCATGCACAACGAGGAGATCCACGGTTATTCGGTCTTTAGTGGTCATGATCTTCTGGCTCAGTTGGCCCTATGTACCCAGGCGTATATTCCGTCATCGAGTGCATTATCTTGACTTTGTGACCTCCTTCATCCTCGTCTCTTGGCTCTAGGTTTGCCTCCGGGAGACACATGTGCTGAGGGGAATGCAGTGGTGGTCCGGACACGGTGAAGAAGGTAGAGAATCTCATTGTTTGGGGAGACGAGAACCGCGCTGCTGGCCGAGGGAGACGCCGGCGCCGGCCTGGGATCTTTGTGCTCGCTGTAGCCTCTGGCCTGGAACTTGGGCTTCTGTTTCCCCGGACATGGTGAATGCCTCGTATTTACAGCGGGATTTTCAAACTGCCGACGGTTCGGTATCGTTGAGAGGTCTTGCATTCGAAGGGTGGGACTGTTTTCTGCCGAACCACAGAGAGAGAGAGAGAGAGAGAGAGAGAGAGAGAGAGAGAGTGTGTGTGTGTGTGTGTGTGTGTGTGTGTGTGTGTGGCGACGACGTTGTCGGGCTGCCAAAGCTAGCTACCAAGGATGGATTTCCTTTCGTGTGGCGGGCGGCGGGCGGCGGGCTGCGGTATCGACGCGAACATAGCTTCGTACTTTGGGGAGAGGGGCGTTGATCGTAGTTCGATCGGTTTGGGGGAGGATGAGAGAGTCTGACTGATGATGCTTCGAAGTATCTCCACCGTCTTCGGGTCAGCGCGGCGCGTTCAGGGTCGGTCTCATCTGGCGCATGTATAAGTCAGACTGCTAGGATCAGGTCAAGCGTCATGTGATCAAGGACACGTCGCCAACGGCAGTTTCTCAAGTGACCAAGTGGCCGAGGGAGTGCAAAGGGTCACTGTGAACATATGTGTCATATGGGCGGCGGTCCAACCTGAACACACGTTTTCGTCGCACATTTAGTGGTCAGATGAGATATCGCTACAGTCAGTGCTTTCTGGTGCTGAAACGGGATGGATCCCCGTGCACGACGAAGAGTCCATCCCTCATTTGAGCCGGCATGTGGCCATCACATTTGAAAGGAGGTGTCATCTTTCCGTGGGCAATCACGCACATCCGCGTGGATAATCCATGGAAGAGTATTGTTCACAGGGAAGGTGTGTGGGCCATACTCGCTGTGTCACAAGAGCCGGAGGGGGTTTGGCCAAGTGGAAGTGGAAGAGTAGGAAACAGCTAAACAAAGAGAAGACTGTGAGAAGGACTGGGAGAAAGGAACGTCGGTTTTTGGTTTTCTGTCTCTCTAAAAGAATGTCCGAGCCTGGTCATCTCCTCTCCCCATCTCCCTTGTCCTGTTCTTCTCCTGTCTACATCACGGTATTTCGTCTCATGCACTGACGGACATGTGTTCAGGAGCGGACAGGACGAGAGAATTCAGGAGAGCTCCAACGCACCCTCGTCTTGGGTCCGTAAACTATCTAATGAATGAATGAATGACTGAATGCATTGTTGCACGATTTCCCCAATCCTTGCCACCGATGTCGTGTCTTCACATCTTCCTCCCTCTTCCCGATGGGGGGTCCCCGTGGTCGGTTTGTGGTATGAACGCCCAGGAGCGTCCTTCCGTGCTGGAGCTGACTCGTCTCAGAAAAACAGCATCTTCGTCTGGATGTTCAGAGAGTCAGCATGTTTTGTCTGGGTCTTCAGAGGGTCCGCACCTCTGTCTGGTTCGGCGGTGCCGAAGATTGTGCCGAGAGGTTGAAGAGTCTGTATCAGCTCTGAATTGGCGAGGCCGAAGGATAGGAGGTCAATTCGAAGAGCCTGTACCTCCTCTGGATAGGTGACGGCGCAGGTTACGACGAGAGCTCGAATAGCCCGTGTCTTCAAGTCGCTGTCTTTGTATCGAATGGAGTTCATGACAGCATCGACAGCGGCTCTCGTGTTTATAGCGTCGAACAATCCGCAGGTCATACCCTTGGGTATTTCGATCGAGGTGTCGCGAGTAGCTTGACACACAAAGTCGACAAATCTGCGCAATTGCCGCTGGATATGCTCGCCGAGGCCCGTTTTGAGTAGTTGGCTTCGAATGTCGAGGAAAGTCTTGAAGCCGCCGTCTTGCATGATGACTGGAGCCATTCGCTCTCCTAGCTTGATCGTATTCCCGCTTCCGCGAACGCTAAAATCCGATGAAATCATCATCTCGTAGTTGTCAGATATTTCACTGAGTCTCTTCAGAAATCTTATACCCGCAACATTGTCCTGGAGATCCAATCCTGCAGCCGTGCGGATGATCGCAAAAAACAACTCTTGGTCCATTTTTCCTTCCATTTTCCTTCCAGAGACTTAAAACTGGCAGAGAGTAAGCTATACAGGTCTTGCTGAGGAAGTACAGCCATTCTATCGGGCAAACACCATACTGCGGCTGGTCTGACGTACCGTTGCTGAGCTGCGATGGTCTCGCCGGCAAGGCAGAATAGTGTTCGTCCTCGCACGTCAGAGAGCTGCGGCCACTGATGGATGGAGGACTCGAGGTAAAGCTCTTTGTTGTGTTCGTGAGATGGGTGATGAAGATTTGGAGCGAGTTTCCACGAGAAGACGGCTCTTTTAAGGGTGAGGTCGGGCATAGGGTGTAGTGGAATAGAAGGGTTGGTGGTGGACTTGCCTCATTCCTGCGGCTCAACAGCCCAACCCATGTGCCCAAGTATTTTGGAGGAGGGCGTTAGGGCCAGATACCGGTTCATGGAGATCCGCCACCGTCGTGGCATCCTTTGATTCTGTTCAAGCATGCAGTACTCATCAGCAAGGCGCGTGTCGTGACACAGAAAGCGTGTCGCAGGCAGCTGCTGAGATGGCCAAGCAACCAGTATTCGACTCCACCACACGTCGCGCAGGAGAGCGCCTGGAAAATGAGCTGACCGGTGAAGAGACATGAACATGGGGGTGCAGGAGGGCAACGGTGTATTAGGTGGTTGCGCCCAAATAGATAGAGGCGGTAGCACAGGGTGGGGATGGTTGTCCTCCCATTTACCAAGGATCTTGACAGGTCATGTTGTGATGGTGAGGCGGTGAAGGCGCCCTGCTCACCTGGGGACTGTATGTGCTGGCACAATCCATGCTGTTTGGGGGATTTTTGATACGAATGTCACTTCTGATTAGTTGATGACGTGGTTGGGTCGGGTCAGCCGCACTGCCAGATGATTTCTGTGCGGGTTCTGGGTGTCTCTGAAGGTGGGCGAGGGTGCACGCTCAGTGGTTGAGTTCCCCGAGGGAGCCCCCAAAGCAGCCAAGTCAGCCTTTGACAGAATTCAGGTTTGACAGCCAAAACACCGCACCACGCCACACTAGGCAGCCACTAGGCCATCACCAATAATCAACGGGCTGTAAGCGCTCATGGAGTGGGTGGGGCATTAGCCATGAGATAATAGGTGCCAGCACTAGCTATTGGGCATCAATCGGGGGGAAGAGCCTCACTCTAGACGAGTCCATTCTACAGGGATTGAAGTTGCACAGCCAAACCCCTGTACAACACACACTAGACGAGTCCATTCTACAGGGATTGAAGTTGTGCAGCCAAACCCCTGTGCAAAACTCACTAGACGAGTACAGTCCACAGGCATCAAGGTGTGACAGCCAAAACACCGTCCGCCCACCCACGATCACCACAACACCACCACCACCACCACCACCACCAGCGATCAATACACCGTGAGCAACGAAGGAGTGGATGCTCGCCATCGTATTCTCATGTGCCACGTCTCAGACATCAATTATCAGGGCGCAGTCATCCCTGCAAGTTGAACAACTAGATTGACTAGGCAACTCGGCACGGAAGTCAGGAATGGCGGTGCGTAGTTTCTGTGTCGAACTGGGCTGAGCGCCTGCTGCCAGCGCCGCCTGCCAGCACCGCCTGCCAGCCTGTCTGTCACCAGTCGGTCATATCCTGTCTCGTTGTTGTCTCCCATGTGCTTCCAAGCTTCACCTTCCGGTCAGTTGCGTGCTTCTTTCCATCACGTCAAGCAGCTGTCAAAACCTCGTCGAAGCAGCCTACCTCCCATTCAAGGCCCATCTATTCTGTCACTTTGCTTTCCATCCAAACATGGCGTGGAATTTACCAGAGACCTTCGACCGCGCTCCCTACTTCCTCCGTCCTCGACAACTGCTACGACTGCACCTCGGTGCAGAAGAAAAGGGAGACACATGGAAGACTGAGGCAAAATCTCATCTACGCGCTCTCCACAAAGCCATCATCGCACACCACGAGGACTGCTACAATCAAAGTCAAGCGGATAGTGGCATCTTTGCAATGTGCTCGCTCGACCGAAATGTAGTAGCTGCTATTGTCGCGGCCGAGAAAGATGAAATCCCGATACCCACAGTAAGATTTGAGATGTTTGCCGTCTCCGAAGGACTCAAAGGGTGTGTACGGATGTGGAATGCGCTCATCAGCGATAAACCCTCGGAGGTGATGGCCCACCTCAATCGGATCCAGAAAAACCTCTTCAGCGTTCGAATCAGAAAGGTGCCCAAGCCTTGGGGATCCCGGAGACGCTACTATGCCGCTGCAAAGGGTCCTCCAGATGACGGTGCGGCTGATACCGAGTGGGCGCCTGGTAATGATCCCATCGACGAACTACTTTTGTCTCTCGGTCGCAGCATTTATGAATTCGGCGCGAAGGACAAAATTCTGCGTAAGAAGGACGCAGCCGTCAACTTCTACTGTCGGACGATCATGCGACCATTGCCTCGGCCTGAGAGCGACCTAAAACTGTGGGATAAGATATGTGCGGGGTTTGATCAAGAGACTCGTCTGAATCGACTCGCTCGTTCGGAGCTCTGGGTGCAGTGGCATGTGTCCAAGGACCACCCCGGTGCCAAAGAGGCTGCAGTGCGAATGAGAGCTTTGATCTGGCTCGAGGAACTGTCAGATGTCGATAAGATCAAGAAATGCGCCAAGGCACTCGTGGACATGATCGATCATCCAGAATTCGAATTCGCAGGGACGGAATCGGCCGCAAGACAGTTGCCCTTCTGGCGTGGCATCCACTTCCTCGCTGAGTGCCTCGGGCCGCCGTGGCTGGAGTATCTGCAAGGGGCTTCTACCATCGACTGGAAAAGTATGTTTGCCGCAGCGCAGCTCACAATCATGTCATTGCGTGGGGCTTGAGATATGCTTCGTCTCATCGACCTTGATCTCTCGCTACAGGCTCTGAAGACTAGCACCTCGATAGAACAGTCTGGGTAAATCTTGGTATCTGTACGAGGTACTCTTCTATCTTGATATCTGTACTCTTCCATCTCGATTTCTTTCCTTTTGCATCACCATCATGAATCCAGACAAGTAAACAATGTGCTTGTGCAGTGCTCCCCCCATCGGAAAAGCAAAGTGATGGGGGGAAACCACCGATAGGAAACCAGCTTCTTTCTTGTTTAGGCACATGATAAACAAAACCCTGCCACAAAATACGACCAGTGTGTCCATGTCCTGGTCAAATGGCTGCAACTTGTGGGAAGCCCATACTCTCTCCGATCGCTCGCTTGTCCCTTCTCTCCTCCTCCTCTTCATCTTCCCAAGGCCACTTAGCATTTCAGCGTCCGACGCTTCAGGAGCTTCTTGCGCCGACACTGGTGGACATGTTGAGTAGAAAAGGCGAACGACTGGGGAAGAAGCTGTCAAGTCCTGGCTGATCGATGGGGTTGACCGAGTAGGGGCCCTCATGATTCCGACTACTTCTGGTTGAAAGTAAGAACATGAGATGGAAAACTCCCTTCAGGAATACTATTGCCTTGAGGAAGCGGTCAGGAGCGTGGCCTGTTGGGGGGGGGGGGAAAAAAAAGCGCGGCGTGGCTCGGCTCAATCTTGTTAAAGCTGTCTGCGTCTGGACATGTTTTGGTGTTGAGAGGTACGATTCAATTTGTTCGAACCCTCCATCTTTGGACGCGGTCTGCTGCTCCTACGTGTGGTTTTTCATCGACCTCGATCTTGTTCACCCTCGACCTTCTACGTCTGTATGCATGTGTTTGCTGCTTGCTGCTGCTGCTGAATACATTGTCCCTTTGCGCCATCCCATACCGCGCCGCGCCATATCATGCTCTGCTGTGGTGTGGAACGACGCGCCTGGTCAGGTCACGTCGCGACACCTCATTTTTCCTCGATTCCTCTCTCCGTGTTCAGCATCCTTGGTCTCCTCGCCCGCCCACCAGCGCCTCCAGGTCCACGATGTATTTTGTCAAATTCCACGGGAATGCCTTCGGGCAGCGAGTCCGACAGCAAGTTCGTACGAGCCACACCAAGTCCGCTTAATGTGCCTGGCAGAAACTGCAAACACCAAAGACTTTGGCTGACGTTCGTTTCTACCAGGTGCGCACACAAATGCTACAATTCAGTCCGACTGGTCCACGTCGTCGCCTCCCAGACCTCGCTATTGCCTGTTGTTGTACAGCCAACCCTGGTGCCGGCCGCGCCGCAGCCTTTCGCCTGAGACCTCGCCTGAACTCGTCCTGCCCGCGTCAGCGGCGCCGCCTGCTTTTGGCAGAGGCAAACGTGCCCACAAGCGAACGACGACGCTAGTTCAATCTCCCTTCCACCATCGCCATCATATTTGGTCCATCTACTTGATCTTCTTGGCCTTCAACCGGATAGTCTCGTCATTCACAAAGACCCCTTCGCCCTTGTCAGGGCTCGGGTTTCCTCCACCGCCGAATCTCCGCAGCGAACTGCTTAATGGCCTGCTCGTCGCACCCCCGAGCAAGATCCGGGTGGGTTGTGGAGTCGAGGCCTCGACGCCCCTGGGCACGCCCATCTCGACCGGGTACGCGTATCCGAGCCTTCAAATTCACAACTCTCTGGCCGGAGTATAGCACCGTCTTGGTCTGCGCGGTATCTCGCCCGGCTACGGGGTTTTCTGCTTGATGCACAGAAGGACTGGATGTCTGAAATATCAACACCTTGCAACGTTGGCAATACAAACGGGTGGCAGCGAGGTCAGACAACAGAACTTGCTGTGGTACGAACTTGCTGTCGGACTTGCTGTCCGGAGGCGTTCCCAATCCCATGGTATGGTACCTGTTTTGCTTGTGGTTGTTCCGTTCACATCGATTGGAATCTACGGCTACGAGGGTGAGGGCGAGTGTGAGTGTGATGATGCGAGGATACCTCTTTGCTTCTGTTGCACTTTGGTCTCTCGTCTCCTCCCTTCGCGTTCATATCCGTTGTCCATGTTCATCTCCCTTTGTCATGTTCATGTCCATCCTCCATGTCCCTACGTCGTGTCCCTCGTTGATGTTCATGCCGGCTCGACGGGGTCGACGTTGCGCGTGACGTGGACCTCCTTGTCGGCGTTCCAGGGGTTTGTCAGGCCGCGCACCGCTGCGAAGGGCAGGCCGATGTCGATCAACAAACCGCCCGTCCCATGAAGCAGCTTGCCCCGAGTCTAGAAGGGGAGGGCAGGGAGGTCGAGCACATCCCTGACAACGACAGGGACGCAGCTACTGCTAAGCTTCATGTTCTCAAGTCGAAGCGGATGGTGTACAAGTCTCCATTTCTCTGGAAGTCGTCGTCAAAGACCAGCAGCTCACAGGGAAAAGGGGGACAACAAGAGCAAGTGTGTAAAGCGCAAATGCCTGTCTGTCTCTCGTCGATGTTCATGTCCCTTCTTCATGATGCCTTTAGCCGCCATGTGGGCGGCTTCCAGCATTGTCCGTATCGTCGATGGTCCTGATGAGGTGCATCTCCAGCAGCTCGGTCGCAACGAAAATAGGAGGCGGCTTCTGTGCAAACTCTACTGCTGTCCCTCGTCTATGTCTCCTCGTCATATTCATGTCCTGTACAGAGAGCGGCGAGTGTTCCATGTCGACCATCAGCTAGCCGACGCTGGCTGCGACACGCACGCAGCGGTTTGTACGAGGCACTTGGTATGGAGCTAGAGCTCCCTCGTCCATCTCCCTTCGCTATGTTCCTTGGCCATGTCTCTCCGCCATATCCCTTCGTCATGTTCATGTCGCTCCCCTATGTTCATGTTTACGTCCCTTCCTTGTCTTCCCCCTTCACAACCCTTCTTCATCCCTCCCCTACATCCCCAGAAGCCAGCAATATCGCAATCCTAGTTCTTGGTGAGCTTGCCATCTCTGGACGAAAGCGCAGGAGAACTCTCATTCTGCTTCGCAATGACCCTCATGTTCACGTCCCTCGTCTATGTTATCTCTCGCCTTTGTCCCTTCGTCTTGTTCATGGCCCGCGTCCATGTTTATATCCCCTTGTGCACCTCATGCTCCGTGCAGCGTCGCCTGCAGCGAAAGTTGGATACGCAGGTCATTCGTCTATTGATCAGATATCAGGAGCAGAGACGAGGTTGTGGGATAGGAAATCGTACTCGAAGATGCCGCTGGCGACGTGCACCACCGCGTCTACACCTCTGGGCTATTCTTGTCGGCGCGACGAGATCCCCAACGACGAGGACTACTTCTGGCGGTTCAATCGAGGAGTGAAGATCTTGGTACTTCCTCCATCTGCCCGCGCACCCCTGTCCGCAAGAGATTGAGTGCGAGAAGTACTGGACCCAGTTGACATTTACTGGCCTCAGGTGGCCACTATACACCCATCATGTCGGAATACTTCGAACAGCAGAATGCGAAGAACATCACCAGAGTACACAACATCCGCCTCGACCATGTGTTGATCGGCAACGGCTGGTACGACCCGTTGATCCAACACCAAGCCTACTACTACAGCTTCTCCGTATCCCCAGGTAATACATACGACTACGACCCACTGAATGAGACCGTCAAAGGTGTGTTCTCCCTTCCTTTTCTGGTTCATGCATCCTAATTCGCCAGATCTCAACCCGATTACTCAGAGTACCTCTGGAATATCATGAACGACTGGAATGATGCACACTACCTGAATTACTACAAGGCCTCCGACGATCGACTCAGGCGGCAAGTTCAAGAGGCCTGAGAGGCTATAGGCGAAGATACCCTGGAAGGCCTTATGGATACAATGGCCTGACCCACGGAGAGCCCTCGTTGATATTGCATCGAGCTGGTCTTGACACATGAAACGCCTCGAAAACCAACACGCGTGGATCGCTTGGGCCGTCTCACTTCATCGGCGATCGATGAGACGGCGCTGGGCTTTGGGAAACCGGACAGTGTTGATGTGCTGCGACCATCCACCCCGCTGGTAATGAGAGCAGATCCTCAAGACGGCCAATGCCCTCGTCGCGGCTGCTTCTGCGTCTCCGTCTACGAAGGCACTTTATCTTCTGTCCGTCCGTTAGGCTTGTCAATATATCATGTCAATGTTGAGGGCGTCGACTCGCACAACGCTTGCCAGGAAGTTCTGTCGCCACCGAGTACGAGTGGCAGAAGCAGCATCACTGGGCACCGGTCCACTTTCTTGTTCTATAATGTCGCTGGTACGCCACCTGACGACTCGTCTTGGGGGGTTCAAACATGCCAGGGCCGATTCGACCCTTGAAGTTGAAGCGTCTGAGCGCCGTTGAGATCTCTGTCTGCCACATCGACGTTGATTCTGTTTGGCTGCGCCCGCCCCCATCACCAATGGAAAAAGGTTACAGCTTCCTATTTGCGAGACCCCTTGGCTGTTCCTTTCGCATGGGTTAGGAGGAACCTTGAATGCCTACAGCGCGGTCCTGTGGACATTTGCCAACTACAGGTCTTGACAAGCAGCAAAGTTTGTATGTGTCAAGTGCTCAGCACCAGCCTCACCGATCCGAGTCAAGACCTTTCAGGTAAGATGACCATACACATCGGCCACCTCGCGGACATCGAGAAATGTCTCGGCTCGACTCTGTGGATGCTGTCACGCTGCCCGGAATGTGGATCGGAATGGTCGGGGAGGCAGAGAGGCCACTCAGTCGAGCGCGCTGCGTTGTTGGCAACAATTCAAGAGCGTAAAAGGGTCTGCACTTCAGAGTGTCTTGTCTGGGATTCTTGATGGCTGGACTTGTCAACACGCAAAAGATGACAACCATACCAATTCTCCGGCTTTTCTTGGACACGGCCTCATGACTCTTTGTGGGTTGACCTGGAATTTGGTATGTTGCCATGGCTTTCCGGATACCCCGCGGCGGATCGAGTTCGTCGACGCTTTCTTCATGCCCAAGGGCGGCGTTCCTGCAGAATCCTACGCTGATATTGATGGAGGCAAAAAGTCAACAGCACTCACGAGGACAACAGCCTGTCCGTGGTCCCCTTGCTTGACCCCCGGCCGCTGACCAGAATGGGTTCCACCGACGTCCCTCCCCAGAACGGCGCACCGGCAAGCAACAGTGCCTCCTTGACATCGATAAAGAGGTCATTTCCTCCCACAAAAAGAAAGGCCCGTATGAACAGATACATCCAACGAAATTCGAGTCAGCCCTCGTCTCTCCTCGAGGAAGCGAGTCCGCTCCATGGGTCGTTGGTTTGAATCGCACTAGGCCTACAATGAGCTTTGGCCCCTTCACCTTTCTCGACCAACACGCCTCCATACACCCAGCAGAAGCGGCAGTGTCTGTCTTCTTTTCTGCTTGCATTGCACCAAGTCAGTAACTGCTACGACGTGATCCTGACGCCATTTTTAGCCAGTGACAGCTATTTCACGGCAGATATAAGTCCTCGAGGGCAGATGAGAAGAAAACAGGTATCCTCACCCAATCATACACAGACTCACGCTCACCCTCACACTCGCCCTTCATTAGTGAGTGCGTGACTGACAGTGACGGTGACAGCGACGCCAAAGACTTTCGTTTGGACTCCCACGAACTCGACCGGCATCTGGACCTGCACCAAGCGACGCGTTTCTTCTCTCAACACATGCGGACAGGACGACAGGATCAATCAACGCGGCAGGGTCTCGACCTGGGTTCTTTGCGTCTCCGTCCCTCGCCCTTTCGCCACCTTCGCGTCGTTGTCTATATCCCTTGGCCATGTGCTTTCGCCATCTGCCATCGTCATGACGCCGGACGGCGAAACCCCCATTGTTGTTGTCCTACCAACTTGATACACTTCTACCATGATATACTCACTTCTCATGATCAAAGCGACTTGTTTATCGTTTCATTTTCGGGCCATCATTGCAGCATTTAGAGAGATCGAACAGCCGCATCAACCTCTTGAAAGTGCTGCCGTGTCTGCTCCGATGAAGGATCTTGCCGATCCTGCACCACCGCCGCAACCCATTGACCCCGCCGACGAAGAAATCTGCACCTGGCTGAGCATATACCACTTCAGCACGGCCCCAGACTGGTCCATCCCAAGCACCAGCACCTTGAGCTTCAGCACGCCCAGTTCAACGAAGATATGTCTCCCAGCAGTATCCTTGTTTCCAAAAGCGGACTGCCCTGTCCATGCACGATTCTGTGAAAGGCTGTGGGCCGAGATCGTGGCTTGTAGGTCAGCCTGGGTTTCAGCCGTGTTTGCTCGACGAAGGAAAGGCACCGCCCTCACGTACACACACACTCTCTCTCCGCACACGTTTCAAACAACGAAGGAACGTCGTATCCATATTCTCTGCCTGTCGGCCTGTCTAAGCTTTCATCCCCCGACCCCCTCCGCAGTCGCAGATATTTCCACCGAAAGACTGCCCTTTTCGGAGAATTGCCCAATGCGGCGCAGGAGTCGGCTTGTCCCACTTCCGTCACGAAAACTGCCGCCTCTTGCAGTCAACGCATCTGACCGCCTTCCCATATCGTTTCCCGCACGCTTTAATCGTTCCCCATCGCTGTCATCTTCTTGTCTGTCCCGCACGACTTGCACGCTTCTGTTTTCTCAGTATTGTTTGCCGACCAGCTAATTAGATTCTCCTCGGCCTGTTTGGACAGGTGACGATGTGCCAGCAGCGGGTCGGATCCTACGGG